AGAGGAGTCAGGCTTTCCTATGGGAAAGAGAGAAAGTATTCCGGTATACACTGGGGGAGCAACACGGCCTGATAGGCCTTTGCTCAAGGGAGAAGATGAACTATTAGAGAAGTGGAAGATCAGAGCTGCTGTACTTCAGGTGGTTGGCTATTAATTAATTTTTACAACATCTGTTGCTTCCCACATTCTTCAATCTTTATATGATATTAGTGGAAACTTTGGTAGAAAGCATTAAGCGATTTTTCATACTCGGTTACTGAGAAGACTCAAAATACTTTCTAGCACAACCTATACTTCCTTTTTTTTTTTAAATTCTGACATCAAATAAAACTTCAGTGCTAAAATACATATAATTTAAGTATAACAGGTTTGGAAAGCTACAGGGCCCATATGAATTCTCTAGTATCTTTTTATATGGACTGTAGCAGTGTGAGCTGCAAATCTAAGTTAGTGAATTTTTATGAGATGGCAAGCATTCACATTACCAAAAGCTAAACTATGAAATAAATCTGCTGTCAAGTCAAGCTTGCCTAGTAGTTTGAGATTTTTTTTTTTAGTTTTTTTTTTTTTGTATTTGAAATCCAAAAAGCTGAGTTAAAGCTTAGATGTCCACAAAACAGAACTATTGGTTTTGTTAGTATCCAGAGAGTGCTAGAGTATCTGTTAGACTTCTAGGCTTTGTCTTTGTACAGGAAGATTTTTCTTTGTCCTGAAGCAAAAGGCCTGGATTCTCTGCAAAATACTCTTGGTTGTTAGAAGTTTGTATACACAGGAGATGCAATCATCAGTACTTCTCACTGTATCTGCCACTTTACCTGCTTGACAGATTTCCTTATGACAGAAAGACCACTGTGAGCTGGTGCTAACCCCATCAACATCACGCACTGCTGAATTGAAATATGTTTGGATTTTACTTTAGGCTGAAACACTTTCTCATAGGGGCTCCTGTCTAGGCAGAGGCTCAGGGAGGTTCCACACAGACGCTACTCAAAGAAGCTCATGTGTAGGTCCTTGGATCACTTGCAGCTGTTTCAACTAATTCAGTCAATTAGTCTAAATAATAATTCCACTGTTCGGGGCAACTACAACTGTTTTAATGCCTGCAGGTGGTTCTCATGACTGTTGCTAGCTCCAAAGGCATACAAAGGTGCCTTAGCTGATATCTTAATTTTGTTTGTCTTGAAGGGAGGGTGTGGTGGTTCTTTTTTGTTGTTGTTTGTTTTTGTTGAGTCAGGTAGGTTAAAAAAAAGGAAGTACTTTAACACATCAATTATTTTATTTTTGCAATTGTGAGTTAAGTTTCCAAGTTTTTAGGTCCTGTGGAGGATAACTGGATTTCTTTTTGTAGTAATCAATTTTGATCTGAAGTTGACAAATGCTGTTCAGTTTTATAGTTAGTTGGGCCAAGATTACAAATTTTTATTGCCTGTAGTCACTTCAAGCAACTCAGTTTAGAGATATGTGGACTTCTAGGAGGATCTGGATAATAGTCTTAGCCGGGTTTGTGGCTTGATGTTACTTTTACAGTTTCATTTGCAGTATTTTTGTGGTCATATATTTTGCTGAGGGTAAAGTTTGGCTATTTAGTAGCAACTCTATCATTCAGCACAAAATTAAGTTTTTGATTAGACAAGGGAAACTTAGTGTACCTATTTCTTCTGGGGAGCAAAAAAAGCCCCAAATCTTGCAGGCCCAATGTGTACTTCTAGGTGTCCTCTCTGATATTAACCTTAGTGTTTCTCTGTGCTGTGTCCAGTGGAACATATAATAATTTTGTATTGGTTGTAATTAATCTTAAATATAGGATTTTTAATGCATGTTACTAAAAACTCTCTTGTGTGTTGGCTTTATGAAATCGAGTACATTGGGTGAAGGGCTCTCAGGCCCTGGGCTTTGTCCTGTGGAGCTTAATATTAAAAGTTACCTCCTGTAATGGGTGTGTTCAGAATCAAACATTCATAGCTGACTTCACAGAATCTAATACTGAAATTATACAGCACTGAAACCTGTACTAAAGAATCAGTATATGCTAGCTCTTAGAAACAATACAACCGCCCCAAAACCCCCACAGCTTTTCCCAACAGTATCAAATAACAAGTAGGCTTTCATATTCAGCTATAGAGATCTGTGTGAGAATCGAGTACAAGTGATAATGGTGGTGGTAATAATTGTTAAATACTTTCATTGCAAAACTGTTCTCCTAAGGATAACAAAAAATAAGGTTAAAAACACTAGTCTAATGCACTTACATTTAACTTCCTCCCCACCCCCCCCAAGCTGTCACAGATTTCCCCTGCTGGTAAACCAAGTTAAGAGACTTCCACACTTAGAATTTGTATTCGGAGAGTAAGATGTTACACCTCCATTCTTTTTCAGAGGGTGAAATGTTACTTGCCATCAAGTGAAAACAAGTTGAAAGTTAAAGCCAGGTACATAATGTCTTCAAAGATTTGTTGAGTTCCTAGGCCATTTTAGAATCACAGGATGACAAGATAAAATTTACTCTAGTTCTGGTAGTTACTGTGTGTTTAAGCTTCAGTAGTAGGACCACTCTGACCCATTCTGATAAGTAACAAGTCACAGGTATCCATGTCAATTTGTTGTCACGCTGTCTTGTGCTACTGAGTTGTTCTTTACTGATTGAATAAGTGGAGGTAGAGAGTCATGATGTAGGTTTTGGGGCTTCTTGGTGCTCTCTTACTCCTATAAGCAAGTGCTGTTATCCCATCTTTTGGCTTCAGGACCGTGGTGGGTTAAGCTTGGCCAGCAGCCAGATGCCCACCCAGCCACTCACTCCCTCTCTGCAACAGGGTGGGGGAGAAAGTAGGGTGGAAAAGCTTGTGGCTCAGGATGAGGCAGGAAGGTTGCTTACCATTTACCATCATGGGGAAAATTAATTTAGTTTGTTGCCAGTTAAAATAGATTTGGAAAGAGAGGAACAAAGAAAAAAAAAAATTAACAAACAGCTTCCCCTACGTCCCCATTTTTCCTGGGTTCAACTTCACCCCCTCATTCCGGACTCCTCTACCTGCCCACCCCGAGCAGTGCCGGAGGACTGGGAAGGGGGGTTGTGGTCAGTCCATAACACTTTGTCTCTGCTGCTCCTTCCTGCTCATGCTTTGCCACTGCTCCAGCGTGGGGTCAGTCCTATGGGCTGAAGTTCCGTCAGGAAGTATCCATCTGCCCTGGCATGGAATCCTCCACAGGCTGCAGTGTGGATATCTGCTCTGCTGTGGGGCACCTCCTCTGACTCATTCTCCTCTGACCTAAGAGTTTGTGCTGCTGTTTCACACGCTGTTTCTCACTTCCTTTGACTGTCTGGCATTTTCGTGCTTTCTTAGATACACTTTCCCAGAGGCACCGTGATCTCGGCTGCTGACTTCAGCCTCTCCTCAATGGAGGCTGTCCTGCAGCCCCCACTGCCAGCGCCCGGCCTCCTGTGCCCAGCACAGCCTGGAGGAGGTGCCTGTTGTTGGCACTTCTGAGTAACTTAGGAGTTAACTTTTTGATTTATGAGTGGTGATCTGATTGGCTTTGCTCTTGTTACTCTAAGCCTAATGCTGGTGTGTTCTTACTCTTCTTTAGTACTACTTCTACATATTGTATCTTCAGCTTTATGTTCAGCTGCAGTTCGGGTGCAAGAAAACATCATCAACTAGTTGTAAAATAAACTGACTTTTTTACCTTTGATCTACAGCAGCTTTATATCTAAGGGCTATTTTCAGCAGTAATAAAGCCTTCAGGAAAAAAAGGAGCAGTTGGGGGGTGGTGTTGCCAATTGAAAATTAGCAAGCAGGAAAATACTGTTGTTAAATAAGGTTGTTTATGTAAGAGAGAGTGTCTGCTTCTTTTGGGGTATCTGGTCAAGGACCTTTACGAACACTAAAAAGAGGTGACAAGAAAAAGAGGAAGCCTTGAACAA